CAGTGAAACAGCTGAAAAACAGTATGAGCTATGAACATTGTGTTAGTATTTCAAGATTGGGGTTATTATAATTAAGGCTGATAAGTGTTTTTGTGTGCAAGTCATTATATAGGCACAGCTTTTATTTCTCTTGGTTAAATACCTAGGAGTGGGATCCTGGGACATGTGACAAGCCCATTTTTTTAAAAAGAATTATTTAATTTTATTTATTGTTATTATATTTTGCTATAGGGTATATGTGATCACTAGTGAGAGATAGAGAAGGAGAGGGAGAGGGCAAGAGAGAAGGCATGCTATCAGGTCCGGGACTTGAACTGTGGTCAGCTATGTGGTAGTCCAGTGTGTTAACCACCATGCCACCTGCTAGCTCTGCATGTTTAACTTTTTGAGAAACTTATTGTATCAGTGTTAAATTTCCTGAAGCTGCTAATGTTTCCTGTTCAGAGGAAATACACATTGATGTATTTAGAAGGAAAGGGATATAATGTATGCAACTTATTACTCTCAAATATTTCAGAAAAGGGAAATATGTATGTGTGTGTGTGTGTGTGTGTATACACGCACACACACATACACACACACGAATACACATTACATATATATTTATATGTTTTATATATATGTGTGTGTGTCTGTGTATATTTGTGTGTGTTGGGAGGGAACATAAATGATAAAATAAATGGGGTAAATTTTATTGGTAAATCTGGCTAAAGGGTATATGGGAACTCTTTGTCTTATTTTTGTAACTTTTATTATTTCCAAAGAAAAAGTTAAAAAATAAACACCATAAGTAGCTAGGGTGGAGCATCTGATTTTAAAGATCCATATTACGCTGTTAAAATCTGGGTGTACTAAGATGTATTAATATAGTTTTTGTAGCACTTAGTGTAGAGCATTGGCATTCTGTTTTTCTTTATTTCTGTGCCTCAAAATTGCCTAAACTGGTAACAGATTGTGAAATGAAGTTCTTTTTATGGATCAGTAGCCAGATCCCCTTAGATAAAATTGGAGATCTGCTTTATCCACATTTCTACTTTCTAGAAAATGTGTAGTATATGATGGTTGTCAGACTCAATTTGTGATCCTTCATTTTTAAAATAATATTGTGAATATGGAAATGGCACTTTTGTCAGGAAAAGAAACTCAGGAGAGATGTTAAATCAGTTATTTGAACTTCAGGAGCTGAAGGTTGAATTGATAATTTTACAACATGCAGGAGGAAGAGATATACCACAAGCTTCTCATTTTTTTCTCAGGTCCATTTGTCCCAGAGGGTTTTGAATTTTTTCAGAGTCCTTTTACTAACCCAAGACTCCAGTTTCCTTAGAGAGCCGTAAGAGTATATTGTCCATCACTGACTGGTATCCACACACTTACTTGCCTCCCTGCAGAGTAAGGATAACTTTCTGAAGACTAATTCCAAATTAGCTGCTTAGAATGTTTAACTTATGTCCTGAAACCAGGATGGAGTCCAGAGATAACATTTTTTGGTAAATCAGAAACTCATTATTGTCAGTGGCTTTGACCTTCAGACAGATACAAACCTCATTTGCAGATGTGTAGACTCAGAACACCAACAATTTTCAGATTTTTTTCATAATTTGTCTCCTTCACATTTAACTTTCACTTTATTAGCTAGGATATATTTGTAAGACTCGTGAACATGGATGGAAAGATTATTAAAAATTCTTTAAAAAGTTTTTATTTTTTTATTTTTTATTAATGAGAGATTGAGTGTGCACACACCAGTGTGAGAAGAGGGGAGTGAGAGGCAGGCACTTCCCAGAGGGTCTCATCATGCCATGATTAGTCAGTGATGATTTTGGGCAGACATACCCAGTGTGTTTCAGGTTAACTCAGAATCTAAACCTGAGGTTGGCCAAGTAGCTTCGAGCATCGCAGAGTCTGTGCCACTGAGGCTGGACTTCTGCTTTGTTTTCATGTCACCTACTCCTACCAAAAAGAGAAAAAAAAAATTAGAGCTTTTAGAACATTCTTAATGTCAATATTGCTCTGTGTGAAAAGATTCGTGGTTAGCAAAGAAATTTCTGATACTATATCTGCCACTTGGAGATTATGGTGCTCATTAATCACAGGCTCTAAGAAACATAACAAAGTTTATTTAGCTCATTCAAGTAAATTTTACCTGGGCCAGCCCCAGAGCTTCATGGTTAAGGGAACTAGATCCCTCATTGGTCAACTGTGACTCTCAGTCCCAGCAGCTTGAAAAACACACCAGGTACATATTTGTGCATGCCTCAAATCCCAAAAGAAGGGAGAAATGGAGGAGAAAGGGTTGCGGCATGAGTACCTTCTACTGAGGAGAGCTTTCTCTCTGCCCTCTCTTTATCTCTGTCTCTTTCTCTGGCAAGTGTATGTGCCCTATAGCACATTAAAAAATATTAACCCCAAGTTATTGACAATGGAAAATTTTTTTTAAGAAACAGTGATTAATATCATGAGTAAAGCTAGGACTTGGTTGTGTGTGATCTGGGAAGCTCTGAATTAGAAGAAACAGAAGGAGGACTTTATAAAGCATTTCTAAGTGGTTTAAGATTTTTAAAACATGAAAAAACTAGTCTGTTAGCATCAGCACTTATGTCTACTTTAAAAAGTTATTTCTAGATTTTATTTTCCTATGACATTTCCCCCCTATCCTTATAAGCATCTGTAGTTCCAAGCATTGTTCTGACCAGCTTGTGGGTATTCTCATAGTCCTTTGGCAGCTCTCTTTGTTGACACATGACAAAGGGAGATGGGGGAAAAAGGTAATTCAAAGGTAGAGACAAATCTGCCTAACAGTTCCTAGCCTGGGGTAGCCTTCTGAGGGAAACTTTCAGATGCATAGTTGTGCATCATAATTTGAGGGTTTCTAGGAGAGTCTCACTGTCCAGATTTTCTTCTCCATCTGTTAGTCACATGCCTGGCATGGACCCCTAACTCATTTGTACCTCAAAAGCTCCTTTTTTGGCCATCAACAATTTTTTTAAAATACCAAGTTTATCTGAAAAGATGTGAGTTCACATTCACTTGGAAACAGGATTAGTAGAAACAAGATCTGTAGCACACTGCCCATATCCACTGGCTGGTTAAGCCAGCTACCCTCTCAGATTAGAAAGCCATGTACAGCAGGGGATTATTGAAACTTTCTTTTTTTTTTTTTTTCTTTAAAAGAGTTTTTTTTTTTTCTTTTTTCTTACTGTGGGACACATATGCTCACAAGAGAGACAGAAAGTGACAAATCATCACCGTGTGGGGATGGCCACGCCATAATCACTTCTCTCTTTTTCCTCTTGGGTTTCTGGGTGTGGGTGCACACATATCCCTTATGAGGTTTAAACCACCAGGTCCCAAAATAGATGAGTGGGATTACATCAGACTAAGAAGTTTTTGCATGGCAAAAGATGCAACAATTAGTGTGAATGGACAGCCTTCAGAATGGGAAAATATCTTTGTAAACTATGTGTCAGATAAGGGACTGATAACCAGAATTCACAAGGAACTCAAGCAGCTGTTCTGGAAAAAGACAATCAATCCTATTAAATGATGGGGGAATGAGTTGATAAATACCACTCTCTAAAGGTGAAATACCAATAGCTAAAAGGCATATGAAAAAATGCTCAACATCCCTCATTGTAAGGGAAATGCAGATCAAAACAACAATGAGATATCACCTAACCCCAGTCAGAATGACTAAGATGAAAAAAACAAAAAACGATAAGTGCTGGTGGGGGTGTGGTGAAAGGGGAACTCTCTTACACTGCTGGTGGGAATGTAAATTGGTCCAGCCACTGTGGAGAACAATTTGGAGATTCCTCAAATATCTACAAATAGAACTACCAGATGATCCATCAATCCCACTCCTTGGTACCGACCCAAAGGACAGAAGAATACTTAATCAGAAAAGTGCTTGCACACTTTTTTTGGCAATATTTATTGTGGCACTGTTCACAATTACCAAGTCATGGAAACAACCCAATGCCCACGAACAGATGAATGGATAGAAAAACTGTGGCACATATACTCTATGGAATACTATTCAGCCATAAAAAACAACAAAACCCTGACTTTTGACAGGAGATGGATGAATATGGAAGATTTATGGCTGAGCGAAGCAAGCCAGCTATGAAGGAGAGGCATTGTATGTCCCCACTTACTATATACCAAGTGTCCTCACTCTGACTGAAACTGATTGACTAAAGGATATAGAAACAGAGTATAAGATGTAAATACCAGATATAGTGTGTGTAAAAGAGGAGGGTCTGAGGAAGGATATTTAGAAGAAAAATAGGGAGGCAAAGCATTAATGGGACAAAGAAAAGTGATATTATCTGTTGAAGATAATTTATAGTTTTATCAACTCTACTAGGGAGAAATGTTCACCTGTTGAAATATCCATTTTGTAAGCCAAATAATGTGATTGAATGTATAAAAGAAAATGAAATAAAAAAAAAATAAACCACCAGGTTTAGGAATCAAACTGTGATTGACCAGGTGGGTGTCCAGTGATGTAACTATTATGCCATCTGCTAGTCCCATTGTTTTTCAGTTTCTATTCTGTTGTCAGTAAAATACAGTGTTTATACATTGTTTTTGGTCTTTTAAACAATCCCTATCTGGCCTAGCTGCTGTGAGCAGTACAGCAGTAATGTAAGTGCCCTAAAAGGGTGGAAACCAGATAGCAGCTGTGGGTTTGAACCCCCGATCAGCTTGACAGAACATGTATGCATGGGTGCCCAAGATTCTGAGGAACTGAAGGGGGGGAAAGGAGATCATGGCATGCTGACACCCTGTCAAGGGTGCTCTTTCTCCTGCCCTCTCTTGCAAGCATGTGCTAGCATTAAAAAGAAATAGTTTTTTTCTACGTTGAATCTCATCTCTAAATGATTTTGGTGTAGTATCACACAGTATAAACAGTGGGCTATACTGACCGTATAGTATTTATTCTGCAACCATGATGGAATGAAATCATTGTTACTTTTGTTCACTTTGTCACTCAGCATCTCCAGGCTCCAGCACTTGCTTAGCTGTTATGACTCCAGTGAATCGGTGTTTCTAGGAGAACGCTATGGCTATGGCCTGGGCACTGGTGGCTACAGCTACATCACCGGAGGAGGAGGGTAACTATGAGCACGACTTTCTATTCATATTCGGGGCATTAAACTTTGCTTTCCACAAGTGGTGGGTCTGTGTTGCTGGGATCTTGGCCGATATGTGAGTGCTCTATAAATGGCAGCTATTACTATAACAGAAAAGTGAACACTGAATTTGCTAAATAAGAAAAGAACCTGCAATAATGACTATTTTGCTCCTTGAAGAAACAGCGTAAAAATAAATTTCAATGTACTTGGTGGAAATGTCTTTATAATAATGATTATTTCTAAGCAGCCGACTCCTTTTGATTGTCTGTTTAAATGAAAAAGATTTTATTGTAGATTTTAATTTCAGAAAATAAGCCATTAGACTTTTAAATTATCCAGTGCTTAATAAATCATTTTTGGGAAAGCTTAGACTTAGGCAATTAAGTGATATTTGTGAAGGATTTATAGGTTTTAAATAACAGTTAAAAATCAATGTTTTTTAAATGAAGCATCTGCCTAATCTCTTATGAAGAAAGATTTTAATTTGATTTATATGGATAAATCAATTGAGTAGTTAGTCTTTTATTTTTATAGTCTACTGTAGGGGTGTTTGGGGAGAATCTTAATAACTACAGTCATTTAAATCCATTCAACAGATGTTTGTTGAATGTCCACCATGTACTAGTAGTATTTGAGTTCATAATCCAACGATTATAAACTTCCAAAGGGTTAGAACCACATGTTCCTACTTTGCAATCCCCTAGATTAGAAGAGTTCCCAAGGGGAATCTCAGGAGTCATCCTGCAGGTGTTCTGGTGAGCATAACATGGTGATTCGTGGTGAGCATAACAGTTATGGAGGTGACTCATTTGTAGTGATAATCAAGCCAGGGCAGGAGTGCTGATTTTTGTTAAGCAGCAGCCATTACCTGGGTCCATTAGCAATAGGAAATAGGGCCCAAGCAAGCCTTTGAAAAGATGTTAAAGAGTAAGGCCAAGGAGTGTGTTGACCTGGTCTTTAAAAAAAATAAAGAGACAAAGGGGGGTGGTGTCAGCAGTTGGTATAGTGGTTACATCACTGAACTCCAGCATGGCTGACTACAGTTCAAGTTCCAGACCCAGTGGTTTGAAAATCACACTGGGCATGTGTGTATGTGTGCCCAAGATCCTGGTAGGAAAACGAAGGGGAAGGGATTGCAGCAAGGCCATCTCCTGAGGAAAGGGGGTGATTTCTCACTTTCCCTCTCGCTGTCTCTGTCTGTCTCTCTAGTGAGTGCATGTGCCCTAAGGCAAAAACCTCTTAAAAAGAAAAGATTCAAAGTATTTGCAGCCTTATAGAAGCACATTGAACTTTTGGAGTGAGGATTTAGGGCTGATGAAAAAGCAGGGCATGGCACCTGTTGGGCCAGGACTTTGTACTTTTAAAAAGGACCCTGTTACTTGAATATGGGTTTATATAGTATGTAGCATGATAGTGTTCATATACTGCTAACACGGAACTGACTTCTTCTGGGATTTGTGCAAGAAACTATTTTGTTGTCTTTCTTGCTTATTAGAGTTAACTGTTATTCCTGAGACTTTTATTTTGAGGCTTCCTGAAGCCTCAATTTGCCTGATCTAATGAACACTGCTTTTTATCACTCCAAGTGGTCATTCATTTATTCATTCACCTAGCCTAGTGTGTGTCAGGCACTGGAAGTACACAGATCATTGCCACCCAAGCTCCTTCACAGTCACTCACAGGCTGCTGCTAGGTTGGCAAAGACCTGCATAGTCATCATTGCTGCTCCTTTCTATGCCTCTAACAGACCCTGCCACGGGGCTGGTACCTTTAATGCCTCTATGTTCACTCTCCTGCACTCCTGGATATTTACCACCACCTCTCCACCTCTAGACTTACCTTTTAGAACTTCTTCACACCACCATCCATCTCCGTCCTCCCCTTCCAAATATCTCAAGAGTTTACTATTCAGACGATCTCCATCTCCTCAGCTCCATGCCCAGCCTTCTACCTAAACTACCTCACCAAACTCTGCAATGACCTCACTGTAGCCAGATCAAATGGATCATTGTTCTTCTTTATATTATTTGACCTGTTAGCAGCGTCTGACAAAACTACCTCACCAAACTCTGCAATGACCTCACTGTAGCCAGATCAAATGGATCATTGTTCTTCTTTATATTATTTGACCTGTTAGCAGCGTCTGACAAAATTGACTGTCTAAAACACTCCTTTCTCTTGCTTTCCAGAGCACCATTCTGTCCTTGTTTATTCTGTCTTGCTGGTCATACCTTCTCATTCCTTTCCTCTCCCTTAAATGCCTGTTTCTCAGGCATTTTCCCCACTCTCCCCTCTCTTCTCACTCTGTTTTCTCTGTGGGAGATCTTATCCACCTCCATGGCTTGATATGGAATGTACCGAGATCTTCATCTCCAGCCTTGAACTCTCTCCTGATCTCCTGATTCATAGATCCACCTACCAAAGGGCATCTCTGCTTGGGTGATTCACAGATGTGTCACACTCAACACCTCCATGCTGGCTCATCATTTCTGACCTTAGTTCCTGTTGTGGTTTTCTTCCAGAGTTCCTCTGTCAGGAAAGACATCAGTATATGCAAGTTCCCACCCCAGGAGCCAGAGAGGCAGCTCTCGCCCTTCCTTCTCTTCTTCCCCAACTCCCCTGCAGTCATTGAATTGCTAAGTCATGTCATTTTTATTTCTGTCCACCTCCAGTAATCTGGTCTAGGTCATTGTCATCTCTTTTTGTGTTCCTGCCACAGCCTCCTGTTCCCCCTACTTCTCATCTTAATTCACTCCATGTTATCATCAGCGTGGTAGTCAGAAATCTTTCTACAGCAGGGATGATCTTCTCTTTCCTTGGCTCAGAGGCCTTCAGCGGCTTCCCAGTCTTTCAGTTTTGCCCCAAGAGTATGAATTCTTTTCTGCTTTTGGTGTCTAAGACAGAGATGATGATGCAGATTTTAACAAGAGGCAACATAACAAGATGGTCCAAGATTAGGCTTCAGTTTTAATCACCTCTAGTTCCCTTAAGTGGCAGTTCCTGGTGCTGCTGAGACCACTGTCTTGGAGCTAAAGGCTCTACTAGATGTTCTCTTCCACTTGCCTGCCCCAGGCCAGCTTGCCCCTGGAAGTTGCCATGACTTCTTTTTACCTAGGAAGAATTCTTGTCTCTAGAAATAGGCTCAGCTAGGCTTCTCTCTTTAACAATCCTGCAGATAAATATGATTTTTGTTTTGTTCAGATTTTTCTTTATGTTAGCATGGTATGAAAGTCTCTTGCATCCTTTGATGTCCTTACAGGAAGTAGAACGTGTCCCATTGCCTTTAGGATAAGGTCCACACTGCTTATCAAGGCTAGCAAGGCCTCTCCTGACCTTGGCAGATGTTGTTTTCCTTTCTAGTCTCACCCATCTGCACCCTCATCTTAAACAATTTCATGCTGAACTTGTTTCAGTTTCTCAGAGGCACTCTTCCCCCAAGCTGTCACATCTGCTGGCCTCTACAGAGCATTGTCCCCCATCCCAACTTTCTGTCTGGCTAATTCCTCTTCCTTCTTCTTGGACTCAATATAGCTGTCATTTATTTAGTTCTAGAAGCCTTCAGTCCAGTCTAGCCTCTCAAATCTGGATTTAATGCCTTCTTAATGTACTTACGTACCATAGTGTACAAACCATTATCATTTAATTACCTATTGATTTTTCTATTTTCCACTTAGATATGAATTATTTGTAGGCAACTCCTGTATCTCATTTCTCACTGTATCCCTACTTTTTAAAAATTACTTTAATTTAACTTTATTTATTGATGTATTTATTTTATTTTGACCAGAGAGGGACAGAGTGAGAGAACAAGAGTAAGAGTGAGAGAGTAAGTGAGAAAGTAAGCCGTCAGGTCCAGGACTCAAACCATAGTCAGCCTTGTGGGAGCTCAGCACCCTTAGTCACCTACTGGCCCCATGTATCTCTACTTCTTAGTATAGGGGCTCATTTTTGTTCAAGGTACAGTGAATATATGAATAAACAAATGCATGAACACTGAGTGTTCTTTTTTTTTTAACGTAACTCACATTGACCAGTGCAATGTCCTGTTGTTAGTGAAAAAGTATTATTCATGAGATCATCTCTTATGTCAACCTTTATTAAAAGATAGAGACGTAATACTGAATAGCTTCTCTAGTATTTTTTTATTTTATTTTTTTATCATCATAATCTTCTTTATATTACATTGGATTACATATAACTTTACGTTGACTTCCATTGCTTTTTCAAAAGGGAATGCCATGCATGTCAGTCAATACAGAGGCATCGATCTCCCCGCTTTATCATTCAAAGTCTTTTTCATGCATTTCCCAATAATTATTATTATTATTATAATTTTTTAAAACAGTCAATCACTATTTCTCATTTTGCTTGTTAAAAGACTTCACCCATCATGAAATACTTCCCAGACCAGTCCAGTTGAGAATACTATACACGTCATCTTCAACAGATAATAAATCATATCTGTTTCTCACTAACATCCTCTCTATTGTTCACTTGCTATCTTTCTCTATCCTCTTCTCTCTTTTTTTATTTTTTTTTTCCCATCGCAACACACAAATGAATTTTCCATCCAAGATATACTGTGCATTGGCTCAATCAAGCACGTCAACATATATGTTCTCAGCAAATAATTTCCCAATTCTTGTGTCCTGCATACCTTGCCTTTTATTTTACCATCCTAGATTCCCCATCCCCCTCCCTCTGTTATGACCCATCCTCCTCCCACATTGTCCCTGTCATCCCCGATTGCCCTCCGTGCCTCACCCCTCCCCAAATGATCTGTCAGTGATCTTAATTAGTCTAAGTCTCTCCAATAGTTATCACAGCTGACACATGCCTCTACATGAACTCAAGTCTGACTTTAGGCCTAAACCCCATTGGGTAAAAAGAGCATACTATAAAGTAGAACCCAACTGGGCCCATACCGCTCACTGCAGCCATCAAATATCCATTTTTTTTTAAATGGTACGAATAATTTTACCTTTTTTTTTTGTTACCTAACATTCATTCCCTGAGCATCATCACAACGTACTAAATGTAATTTCCCATCTAGAATAGACTGCACAGTGACCCAATCAAGTATGTTATCATCAATAATATTCCACTTCTACTTTCTTGCTTATGCACATATATATATGTTTTTTTT